CAGAAGATCCAAGTTATTTGAAGAATAGGGCTATTTTAGCGCCAACGTTAGAGGTCGTTGAGTCTATCAATCAGTACATGTCGGAGATGAATTCTGCAGAAGGTCGCACGTATTTGAGTCCTGACAGTGCATCTAAGTCTGATTCCGACAACGACTTCTTGGCAGATCTCCACACGCCTGAGTTTTTGAATAGCATCAAGTGTTCGGGAACACCGAACCATGAGTTGCATTTAAAGATAGGAACTCCAGTCATGTTGTTGCGGATCATGGACCATTCTATGGGACTCTGCAATGGGACACGGTTGGTTGTGACCAAACTATCTGCTCATGTGCTTGAATGCAAGATATTGACGGGTGATCATGCTGGCGAAAAAGTCTTGATTCCTAGAATGAATATTACTCCTTCTGATTTTAGGGTTCCTTTCAAGTTCCAGCGGCGGCAATTCCCACTTATGGTTTCGTATGCCATGACCATTAACAAGAGTCAGGGACAGTCTTTATCGCATGTTGGTCTTTTTCTAAAGAAACCTGTCCTTAGTCATGGGCAATTATATGTGCTGTTTCGCGTGTAACTACTAGAATGGGGTTGAAGATATTAGTTTGTGAGAATGACGAGTTGCCCAGTAATCAAACTCACAATGTTGTGTACAAGGAGGACTTTAATAATATATGATTGTTTCTTTTTCGAATATTATCTTATTGTACAAGTTTCCTGCTTATTATAGAATTTTTATTGAATATTGCATATTATAATATAATATTCCCCAAATAAATATATCCCGTTCCTCGCACGTGTCACGTACTATATATATACCCTACATTGTTCTGTTTTCATGTATATGATTATAAGCCTGGATTAATAACCTTAAAAACTGTGCACCCCGTGCATCGCACGGGCTCTGTACTAGTTTGTTTGGAACGGCCATAAGAGTTTCTAAGGTAAATCAAATTCATATCTTGAAACCTCATCTGTTAAAGATTTTTATTCATTTAATTATTAGAGAAGTTATTTTTCTTCTCTCGTTGATATTGCTAAAAATCTATCCATGGTTTTGGGGGAATCATTGATGTCCTTAGCAAATTCATCCAATATAAATCTCCCAACTATCATTTGTTATCTTTCGGCTTTCACTATTTTTCCTACTACTAGAATACTCCCATATCCTCCCTAAATCATTCCCGGCGTGGAGACTTGCACATCATACCACCTTCCGCGACTGTGTGATTAGCTATCGCCGAGAGGACAACAAACGCGAGTTGTTACCGAGCCTCGCGGTAAGCCGTCGAGGATCGTCCTTGCCTTCCAACTCATCAGATTTCGAGTGTTCTTTTGGTGAACAGTAATGGATGGCTGGAACCCCCTCATATTTGATATATATGGTGTTCATATGATGTAATGGAGTTGCTTATGGCATAGAGATTAATTTGATGAAGTTTCATTGAGATTTGCATGATAAATCGTGATTTTACTGTCTCTGTTGTGCCTCTGTTATGACCATCAAGAACTCGTTTCGTGAAGATGTGTTCTGCATATGAATTGTAGTTTATCCTGTTATCATCTAGTGAGTTTTTGAATTTTGAAAATCCGATTTAAATTGAGTGAGATATGATTTTTACAAAATAATTGTGCAAGCAGTTTTCTGTAAATCCGGAAGCATGTATGTATTAAATGCCTGGCATGTTTTCGATGTTTGTATGTGCTCAAACTGAAAAGTAATATTCATGAAAGTTGTAGCCTTACTTCTTGGCTGTCTGGTGGTTTTTGAATCATGTCATTTGGAGGTCTGTAGCATGAATTATACAATAATTACTTAGGCTCTATATGAACAATATTTAAGTGTTTCTGACCGCAACTCTGTTATAAATGTTTGTTGAATTATCTCCTAGTAAATGAACTTATATGTTATCGATATCTTCATAAGAGTTGTAGCTAAATGTCTTAGAATTCATATGCAACTGGAATCACGTTTATATGACTTATGTGCTGCATGTTATGTTTATTTTAAAATTACTTCGCGGGTTAAGTTTTGAAAAACTTATGTTGTGCTTTCGAAAATAGAAATTCTTGTTAAATGCATGCTTATATGACTTATACGGGCTGAGTTGAACTAAGTGAATTTAGTATGTGTATTCATGTGTCGGATAGTTATTTATAGGGCTATCTTGATAAATGTAGGTTCGACGAGCTGAATCCTCGACCTAATTACTTGCCTTGTGTGAATCTACCACTTCGGTAACCAGGTGAGTTTTATTTAAAAATTGCTATGCGATAAATGGATATTATATGTTTGGTATGATCATGTATTCATGTGACCCATGTAGCCTTCGATGTGAGCTGTACCGGCCGTCGAACGGTTATCCCCGTAGCTATAGAACGTACCCGATGGGTAGTCTCCTTTATATTATGTTGTATGGCAGTAAGACCGGGGCGTAGGACACGGCTGGTGATCCTCGCTTTGTAAGACCAATTCGTAGGTCGTGGCTAGGTGGGGTGGATTACTCCTACTGGCTCGGCATCGTTGTAAGACCAATTCGTAGGTTTTGGCTTTCGAATCGAGTATCAATAGTAGTCTATGCGTAGGTGTGCATATGAGGGTCGACTCTGGGATACGAGATGGGATAATTGATTGATTCGTGTACATGCTGCGACCATACCTATATTATGTGATTTTATGATTTATCTGCATAGTGGTGAGCACCACGGATTCTATATGTGCTCATCCTCACTTTTCCTCTCAGATGCAGGGTAAACAGGTAGTGGGCACGGCGAGGCGAGGCGAGTGGTGGTCGGTTTAGATGACTAGAATATTATTGCTTGCTTCCGCTATACTTATGCTTATTTATGATTATTGGTGAATTTTCGAACTCTGAGATTTTACAAAGTGTTGAGACACTATTGGGGAGATGCCCTTGACATTATTATGTCTTTCAAATTTATCATTTGAGAAACCCATTTTTGGGAGTTGATTATTGATGATTGATGATTGATGATTGATGATTGATAATAGGTGATCTATGTTATGATGTCATTAATTTAACTTTATATTATGAAGGTGATTTTGAAATAAATGAGTAACGCCTCGAATGTTATAAATGAATTTTGAAAAATTTAACTGGTTTTTCTGAGAAGCCATGGATTTTCGTTAAATCAAAGTGGGGCGTTACAATTGCAGGGGCAAATTTTCATTATTTGTAAACTATGGAGGCCGCTTCATCAAATGTGGAACTTCTGTTGAGTACTTAGGTGGTACTTTCAAGACAGTTTATGGTTTAGATGTGGATAGGTTTGGGTATTTTGACTTAAAAGAAGAAGTTGAGAAGTTGGAGGTTGATAAATATTGGCCCATTTTTGTTACATTTTTCGTGCGTGTTTTGCTTTTCTTTTCCCCCGTTTTAGGTAGTTTCTTTCGTCTTTAGTCCGTTTTGTGTTTTATTATGTGTTTTCCTTCATTTTGAGTCTTTATGTGTTTTTCTTTTGTTTTTCCAGTTTTCTTCGTGTTTTGTCGTTTATAGTGTGTAGGTCGGGAACTTCGGACAGATCTTCTCAACAGGAAAAATTAGTTTCAAGAGCATAGTTGAATAGAGGGGTTCGTTGGCGACGCATAGCAAAAAACGGAACTCAATTCCGAGTTCGGACCAACCCAAACGAGCCCGAAATGTAAAATTGGTGCAGTTCAATGTCGCGACTCGCGAGAGCAAAATCGCGACTCGTGAGACCAAAGTCACGACTCGCGAGAAAAACAGAGCCTTAAGGTGCAGTACGCGAGCACGAGTCGCGACTCGCGAGTGATGTCACGACCAAACCCTAGAAATTAAAGATCTTGACGATGCGCGACTCGCGAGGAAGTCGCGACTCGCGACCAGGAAAAAGGTGAAGTCGCGACTCGCTACTTATCGACGCGAATTTCGAGATGCGGGTTTTAACATCAGATTTTGGACCTAGGGCTCATTATTCCACTCCAGACTTGTTTTTTATGTTTTTTCTCTCTAGAAAACATATTCCTCTCTTAGTTTTCTCACTTTGGATTTTTTATGTAGATTGAAAAACTCCTACTCTTGTTTTGGATTTGGATTGTTCATTGGATTCAACTCTTTGTTCTCTATTAATCGTAAGTTTTCCTTTTCAATTAATCCTTGAATATTAATGCTTGGGTTCTTGAGATGAATTGTGTTGAATTCCATATGAGTAACTAATTCGATCGCTAGGGATAGGGATGATGATGATGTTTAGAAATTAATTGTGATTATCATGCTTGTTGATCGTTCAATTTATGCAAGTTGTTCTTAACTAGGGTTTATAATTCTCGTACATTGAATGTTGAATATTGTCGAAGAGTGACACTTAGATTTGCAATTGATTTCCTATTGAATATGATTCATTCTTGTGTGATGTTTTTAAATCTTACGACTAGTAGATTAAAAATCGTCTATGATAATTTAATCAACTCTTAGAACCGAAAGGGGAGGAGTTGATCGATCTAAGCTCGCATGAAATAGACTTGTTCGGAAACGTATTGTCTATGAGTTGAGTGATTTGTGTGATTTACCGTCTATGTTACCCTCTTGTTACGAAGAGTTATTGAGGACTACCTCTAGACATTAGGTTGTTCGAATCATTTAACCGAATGATCTTAGCTTGAAATTTGCATTGGTTAGAAAATCATCATCCCCGACTCCTTAGCTTCTTATCATCATTTGATCTTAGTCTTTGCTTTTTAGTTCGATTTTGCATTGTTTGAGTTTTCTTTCGTAGTTGATAATTAAAAACCACTATCTTGATTAGAGTGTTTAGGATTTATTTTTCTTTTATATGCTATCAACACCATTTCTAGATTCCGAACCGCCTTCCTCGAGAGATCGACCCGGGGAACGAATCTTTCGATTTGGTACTCGGTAAAAATATATTTTGCTACAACAATAAGTTTGGAAAACTTGTATACAGAATACCAGGGAAGGTTGGAGCAGACATCTTTAAAGATGTTGTTGATGATAGTGTAGTTATGGAGATGATTGGTCATGCTACTAAGGGAAGAACATTAATAGAGGTTTATGTGGTTGGAGAAATTATAGAGGAAGGTAACAATGAAGAAGAAGTTGTTGTGGAAAGTGCATCTAGGTCAGATGAACAATTTGATGTTGATTCATATAGAGATAATGTCTCTAATCCAAAGAATCTTGATGATGTGGGTTTAGGAGCTGAGTCACAGAAAGATGGTGGTGTTCATACAGAAGTGAGGAATAACCTAAATACTCCACAGTTGCTTATTTCCAACCTGGGTGACTGTGAAGTTGAAAGTGAGTCTGGGGATGATAATGAGGATGAAGACTATTTTCCTGTTGATGAAAGCTCATCTGATGATGAACTTTCTGTTGATGATCTTGCTTCTGATGATGATGGTGAATATCTTGAGGCAAGACAGAACCTGAAGAAGCAAAAAAATGGGATATTAAAAGATGATGAGAATGTGCAGACAACATGAAGTCAAAGAAGGCCATTGAGATGGACAGTGAAGATTCTGGATTTGTAGATTGTGCATTGGTATCTGAAAATTCAGGTAGTGATTGGGAAGTGGATGAGGATGGGAACTGTATAGGTAGAAGGAAAATAGTTACTTATGACCCTAAATGTGATCATAGTACTCTTGAGTTTATGTTGGGGATGAGATTCATATATAAGCATAGAAGAGTTGAAAAAAGTAGTTAGGAATGTAGCAATTTCTCAAGGGAGAGACATACAGTTTCTGAAAACTAGCAAAAAGCAGTTGAGAGTGAAATGTGCTGATGGTTGCCCTTGGACATTGTATGGAAGTGCATTTATGAAAGAGGCAGTGTAGCAATTAAACAATTCAACAAGGAGCAAAAATGCCATAAAAATGTCCACACCAGGCAAGTTACATCAGAGTGGATTGCTGAGGAGTTTCTTGAAAAATTCAGGAAGAATCAAAACATGTCCACTACCTAAATGGAAGAAACAATATCTGAGAAGTTTGCAGTACAACCTACAAAGTGGAAGCTTTATAGAGGAAAGTGGAGAGCTCTTGAGATGCTTAGAGGTTCAGTAGTTGACCATTATGCTTCTCTGAGAAGTCACATGGCAGAGTTGTTGAGGGTAGACAGAGATGGAAGGTTTGAGTTTCTTCTTGGTGAAGAAACAACATTCAGAGGTTTCTATGTAGCATTTAGTGCATTGAGAAAGGATTTCCTTAGTGGCTGTAGGCCCATTTTAGGATTTGATGGGTGTTTCTTGAAGACTTTTATAGGTGGGGCTTTATTGTGTGCCACAGAAAAAGATGGCAACAATCAAATATACCATGTGGCTTGGGCAGTTGTTGAGACAGAAAATGAGGAATGTTGGAGGTGGTTTCTAAGTATTTTGTTTACTGATTTGAGAATTAATGATGGCCTTGGATATACTTTCATATCAGACCAACAAAAATTCAGTTATGTCTCTAATTAATTTAAATTTTTTGAATTTATTCATAAATGAATTTTTCCATTTACTCATATCTGAAACTGTATAGTTTCAATATTTTTTTTCCTTTTTCAGGGTCTTCTGAATGCACCGAGAGATTTGGCCCCACATGCTGAGCATAGAAATTGTGCAAGACATGTATATATGAACTGGAAGAAGAAAACCATTTTCTGGAAGATTGTGCTCAGCACTCACTTGGGGGACTACAACATATATTTGGAAGATTTGAAGTCTGAAGATCCAGATGCTTATGAAGATTTCCTGGACAGAGATCCTACCAAATTCTGTAAGGCTTACATTTCTACATTGTCTAGATGTGATATGATTGAGAACAATGTGAGTGAAACATTCAATGGACTGATTATCAAGGGTAGAAGTAAGCACATAATTGATATGCTTGAGTTTGTTAGAAGTGAGTTAATGAAAAGCCAACATGACAAGTTGTTAGGACTTAGTGGGGATACAGATCAAATTTATCCTAGAATAAGAAAGAAGTTAGAGCACAACAAATACATGTCTAGGCATTGTATGACAAAGCCAGCTGTTGGTGAAACATTTGAGGTTGTGCATCAGGATGATCAGTTTGTTGTGAACTTGAAGAACAAGACGTGTACTTGCAGATATTGGGATATTACATGCATACCATCTGTACATGCATGTTCTGCAATACATTTCCAACATCAGGATCCTATAGATTTTGTGTATGAGTATTACTCAGTTGAAAGGTATTTGCAGTTGTACAACTTGTCATTAGAACCTATTGTTAGATATGCTGTAAAAGCTTGGCTTTCAGATATTAGTAATACCATTTTGATCTGGCAATCATGTTTTAGTCAAAGTATATATGCTTGCAGTTTATTTATTTATGCAATCATACTCCTTGTCTTACATTGAGATAGTGTGGTTCGTGGTGTCTCGAACAGAAATCACCTATCAGTTCCTTGTAAGACTAAATCATTTGTTCACAGTCTAGACTGGCAGTAAGACCCCACTCGGAAAAAGACTGTAGTGTATTCTTAATTCAGTTGACCTTGACTGGAGAATTACACTAGTACTTATGTTAAGTATTGAACAGGACCACCGGAAGGATAAGAATATGAGACTCACTGATCATTGTTGTAATCTATACCTTCAGGGATTGATGCGTTCTCTAAAGCTATAAGATAATATAAAATAGTCGTGTATATTCGTTACTTATTTATTTGATTTACCAAGGGTGATTCCTATTCTATTGGAATGACATACTCAGTACTTTGGTAAATAAGAGTGATTATATGACGAGCTGTTATAAATTATTTATGGTACCGTGTTCCAGTGCGCTGGATTGATGATGTCCCCGAAATGAGCTCAGGAAGGATTATTTTGTTAAACCGTGCAGGTGGATATTTATCCGACACAATGATTAAAGATCTGAGTGGTACTAATTTCGGAAATGAATAAGAAGTCGATTAATTATCTTGTCAGTAATTTAATTAATCCACGGACGTTATATCTTAAACATGGGGAGGTAAATCGGTCAATCAGATTAATATTTATTAATCAAGTGGAGGTTTAATTTAATTGATTAAATTGGAGCCAAATGGGGAGAGCAATAATAATATTCTAGTGGGATATATTATTATTTAATTTCATTAGGATTTTAGGAATTAATTTTATTCCATAATTATTATTCCAAGACTTATGGAATATTCCTTCTAGAATATTACCTAGGGTTAGGAGACTAGAGAGTCTTCTAGAAGGTGATGTTAGGAGAAGGAGTCATGACCTAATATGGATTAGCGTGTGGAGTAGAATTAGGATTTCTTGGCCTAATGGGATAAGCCCATATTTGGCACCTCCTTAAGGTTCCTAATGGAGCCTATAAATACACCATGTCCCAACCTCTAGAGACACACATGTGAGACTCGTTTTTTCCATCTTTCAAAGAGAGAAAAATTGTCTTGTTCGAGAGTTAGGGAGATTCAATTAATCGCACCACCAAGATTAATTGAAGTAGGTGTTTAGGTAATCCATTAGAAGGCTTTAAGGTGAGATTAGATTAAACCTCAAACCTTCATATTTTCCGGTCACCTTCCTCAGCCGACTGCCGCCATTCGCCGCTGTCGACCACCGCCGAAAAACCACTCCTCGCTCGACTAGGACTCCTCGCTCAACCAGGACTCCTCGCTCAACCAGGACTCCTCGATCAACCAGCACTCCTCGCGCCCCAGGAAACGTGCCGCATGCGATCGGCATGACAAAGTCCCTGCTCGCCTAGTCCTCAATGGAATAGGAAAGCTGCAGCGCGCGACCCACACGCACCCGCTATTCCTTGCCTGATCAGGACTCCTCGCGCATATAGGAGACGTCCCGAGCACGTACCAGCGTGAGCCCAGACGCCGCATGCCTAGTCCTTTCAGGCATAGGAAAGTTGACACGCACGTGCATCTGTCCGCAACCCGAACCGCTGCAACCCGACCCGACTTGAGACGTGATCCGTTCGTGATTCAACACTCGACTAGAGTCGACAAAGGCTAAACTCTTCAACCGATTGAGTTGTGGTAATCAGACGATCTCCATCAAAGGAAATCAGAAACGTCTCTGAGTCGATAGAAATTTTAAAAGGTAATGTCCTAATCCTAACTATAGATTCCGCTGCGTTAGGATTTATTTCGATAAGTTCAATACTGTGCATGTTGTTGACGTTCCTCACAGAACCCAACAACTGGTATCAGAGCCCAGGTTTAATTCAACTTCGTGCATAGTTTGAATTAGGACTTGCCTGTTTACATGAATTATGTGTGTACGGACGCAGCGACATAGTAGATTAGAAATTGCAATTTGCAAGTGATTTCGAATCCGACTATTATGGCCCGTATGTATGATTTAATTCATGTATGTATGTATGGTGTTTTTATAAGCCTCGGACATGTCGAGGAGTTTTTTTGGGTTGGTGAATGCCTTGTAATAAATTATTCGCGCAGTGGGACATTGCATAGTTTATTGCTTTCATAGAAAACTCGTGTACGACTCCTGCACGGGTCATAGGATGAATTATGTAATTGTTGTTATCCATTGTTGATCCGGCGGATGTGGACCAAACTCGACGGGGCGAGGTGACAAACACACAGACGAATGCCATGATGATGATCCAATGGCAACTTTCCCGGAGACAGCCTATTCAAGATGAAGAGTGGACGTCACTGCGAAAGGGGTGTTCCAATTCCTAAAATGGAAAACACATTCATACTAGGATAGAATTGTGTTTCTCCATAATATTGGAGATTAATTAATGGCCATAGTAGTTGGATTATAGTTCCTAGTTTATTATTGCTTATTAATTATGCATGTCCTTATTTGCTTAATGTGCAAATTGAAATAGGAGCATGTCTAGGAAAATCCCTTAAAATAAAAATTATATTAAGTGTGTAATGGCTTGAAATAATTACATCCAAAGCCTCCATTATAGGTTTGTTAGTGAAGTGGTTTAGATTGATCCCCACAGGACGGTTTATCTCACAGTTCACAAGGACAAATTTCCTTCAGGATGGTAATAGCGAGCTATTACAAAAGAGTACGGATCATCCACAGATGAACGTATGATTTTGGTAGTGAACTTGGTACCAATTAATGGGTTACACTTAAAGTGCAAATTAAAATGATATTCCCACAAGAAAAGGTTGTTTTTATTATGCGCCGGCCAAAAGATGAAACGACTATTAATTAAGTACTGATTTGTCGGTATGTTAATTAATGGGATTAATCCCTCCTCTTGCGATGGTTTGAACCGTAGACGTCCACACTCCGTGGCCTGAGGGGATTCGGTGTTTATAGGTGCCGTTGAATTTATTTGAATATTGTTGTTAAGGGATCAATATTTGATGTTAAATTCTAAAATCACTTGACTAAGTAAAACCTATGTTTACGTGATCCCAGGAATTCAAAA